CTACTTCATTCATGTCGTCCTCTTGTCGCATCCCTAAAACGCTTATTTCCGCAATGGTATCGGTGACAAAGACCTCTCAAAAATTCGGAGTTTAGGCTAGCTTTCTAAACATTCACGTTTCTTAACGGAAGACAATTTAATACTGTTATTATTATCCGTCACATTATTATCACCGGCAATAATATCCGCACGAGATTACAAAGCCTTGTAAGTATACGTTTTGCGACAGAATGATATAGATAGTCTACATTTTTTGTTACGTTCCATGTAGAATGAAATTTTTGCGAAAATAATTTAGGGGCCCGATGGACAATTCTTGCAGTACTGCAGAATGATTGCAACTTTTCGTTTTATGTTGTATTTGTCATACTTTTAGTAATGCTAGTTCGTTCAAGCTAAATAATGTAGTTATCAAGAATAACTGAGCCATTTTAAGTGGTTAAAAATCAATGTTGCTAGCTTTCGATCGAGTTTGAAGAAAGACTTATGCTTTTGTAATCGTTTCCTAGTGGTAGGGGAGGATGTATTAACAAACTTTAAATGAATTGTACAGAATTGTTTTTCTCCTTATTCAAAGTGTGTACACATTGCTTGCCTATCTGATTGGCTTGTCATACTCAACCAAAATACTGTACGACCTTATAATATAATGAGGCAACTTTGTTGGTCTCGCAGTGCACCGCCTGAGATTGTCGACAAAAAATAGTTTTAACGTTAAACAAATCAGGTTTGAGAAGAATATTTTAAAAAGGCTCTTAAACTTTTAATCAGATTGGCCGAGCGAAGGCTGGGTCATCACATTGCATCTTGGGAGAAACCTTCATGTTGGAAAAATGCTTTCAGTTGTCGCACTTTCATGGTATTTTTTCGACCCAAAAAGGTTTTAAAATTCATTTTTGCAACAAATAAAGAAAAAGAACTCCTAAATGATTCGTCAACATCAAAGATTTTTATCGTACTGTAGTTAGACGAAAAATAGTTTGAAAGTATGAGGACAGTTCTTTTGAAATGAAAGTAAGTAGATTTGTGATTGGGTTGAATTAATCCAATTAACACTAATTAACTGAATTCATATGTTTGCGTTGAAATTGTTTCTATTCATTTCTTAACTACCAAATTAAAACAAGTCCAATTTTTATTATCTAAAATACTGAAGACATTTGTAACATACTGAAAAAGGAATACTGTAAGTAGTATTAATTAAGTTGCTTTTTTTTAATGGTTATCCCTTTGGAAGTCAGTTGTACACTTAAAATTAAAAGGAGTTCCCCTCCCAGCTTAGTTTACGCCTGATAAGACTCTAATGTTTTATTATCAAGGAGAGAAGTGTTTATTTTAAAAGCACAAGACGAGCAAAAATATTAAATCCAAAATAGTGTTCATGCGTGCAATCACTAGATGAAAATAGTTTCTCAATCAACAGAAAGAACTCTGAGTATCCACAGTCGTTGTAGGGATTAGTTTTCTTCTTTTGTTATAATACGGCGTCCCTCAATTTATATCTTCCATAATGACTAAATGGCTAGTCGCGACTTGTGCTCGTCTAATCCGGCTGCCCTTGCGTTTCTGTATTTGTTCAAGGATTTTCCACGATCACAAACCGTTGCCAACAATAGATTCTCGGGAAAACACTGTAATCATTTCCAGTGGAAATGTAGTTTCTCTCGTCTTAATTAATTATGACTGTTGTCGTGGATTACACGCAAACAGGTAGACGCGATAAATGTTTCTTGCTTGAGGGTAAACATTCGTGATAACAGACGAATGCTGGACTGCCTTACTAGCGAGGGGCGAGCCGCTTCTTGTCATTGTAAAGTTTTAACGTGATTTGAAACCATTGTGAGTGAATGGTAAAATAAATTTCCTCCAAGTACGTCGGGTTTTGTCGCCTAGCTAAGCAAACATTAATTCGTTTTACTCTGATAAATCAAGTTTTGTCTTGTTTTCGCCTTAAAACACCAATTAAGTGTTTTTAGTTAGTTTTGAGGAACTGAGAGCGGAGGAAACACATTTTTATTCGTCATTTCGGTTACCTCACAAAATATACAAGACGGAATTGCAAAGCGTGGTGTATTTGCGTGTTACCACAAATAGATTTCCTAGAATTTTAGATGGCTTTTTCCGTGATTTTCATTGTCGACTTTGCAATCACATTAATTGAAATTAATTGCAAGAATAACAGATTAAATACTAAAAATGTGTGTCATTTTACCTATTCTTGACCTTTCTACAGAAAAAAAATTAAGTGACAAATTTTCACCTCAGTAAAACTGAAAGGTGTTTCGTTATTTTGGGCAAAAACGTAGACAGCCGGAACCAACCAGTTGGGGAGAGGGAAGCATGAAAATGCGACTGGAAAAAAGATGACAAAAATAGTTCATTGGCTGTTACGTGTTTAAGTACTCCAGTTAACCCTTTATTAACTCCAAGATTGGTGATTGACAAGTAACTTCATCCTAGACTGCGAGCACTCTCTTTTTTCCTTCAGTGCACGCGCGCGCGAGCGAGCGTCGAACGGCAAAGCGTGGACATTTGATTGTGTCTTCGCAAGTTTCGCTCGACGAACTAAGAAAACAGACAGACTGCTCGCGTCTAAACTTCTCCCTATACTATCCAATACATAGTCTAACAAAGAGATGATGAGAATAAGCAAATTAATCAGCCAGATGATGCCACATTGATATAACCCTTTTATGACTTCAAGAAAGGAGAATTACGTATAACCTCATCAGATCTTGGAAGTGGAGGTGCTAAGTTAGAGAGGCACAATAAAAGTAATCCGAGCCTGTCCGAACGTAATTGGGTCAACTGACAAAGGATTTCAAGGGATATAAGGGTAACATTTTTGCGGGGTGGCATATATCCTGTTTAGTTTATGGTGTAAAATTAAACAAGTTGTAGCAGGAAACGTAGATTTTCGGTGTAAACACTCAACACGTGCCAGTGAAAAAGAAAGATCCGGATTAATTCTTGCTGTGTTTAAGGAATCAGGAAGCGCGGTTGGAACTGAATGGTTTTGAAATATTGAAAAAGATGTTCATAAGCTTCAGAGCCCGTTGTCGAGCTATTCTAGTCAGTAAACTTTGCAGGATACGCAGCAAGTGTTGATTATACAAGTGTCGGGATTAGCCTGCCACGCCTAACAGTGTCCAGAAAAGATAGATGGCTTCGTCTTCTCACTAATTCTCGATTCTAAGACCTAATGGACAAGGAAAGATTCTTAATCTTTCAATAAGAGATAGTCTTGCACTTTTAATCCTATCATATTCCATGAAGGGTGAATTAAGGGGATTTAGATGTAGTTGCGTTTGTTTAGGTTGCGGTTTCAATCTACGTTGATAGCCATTTAAGACTTGAATTTATTTTCACGCATGAATATGCATTTTTGCGAATTATATTTTTTCTTGGCTTAAATTCAAAACTTTGTTATCTTAATTTTCTATCACATTTTAGTGACTCGAGAATTTCTTTTTATTTTGCTGTTATGTTTTTCTTGTTCTTTATCAGACTTTCATAACCACATCACCCGAGAATCTTGGCAACAAATGCTATTCAAAAATAGTTAAACTATTTTTGTTGGCTAGAAATACAATACATGACATTGTCAAACGAGAACGAAATGATAAATTTCTAGGTTTCATTTAGCAATAACTTGGGTTAATAACATCTACGTAATATTCAAAAGGATGTGATCAAAAGGTAAATGTTACAGATTGAACTGGAACGAAATAAGATGAGATTATTGACGTATTTTGTGAGATATCGGGAACATCTATAAGGAAAGGACTTCTGACTTTATAAACATGATTTCTGAAACCTACTGTTCGATAAGCAAATGCCAAAAAAGTATAGTTATGTAATATGTTTGTCAGATTGTGAGCTAAACATCCTTCCTCTTAACCTAATCCATTGTGGTTAAATGACAAAAAAAAAACGTTTAGAAGCATTATTAATTTTAGATAGACCCGTTTCACCATATCGATTTTGCTACCTGCAGCGTGAATACAAAGAATTACCTATATTAAAGTATCGAGCTTTTAGCAAAGAATAGAGCCGAAACGGTGTTATAAAAAAACACGCTGTGCTTGACAAAGAAAACGAGAGCCAATAAACAACTGGATTTGTACAAAAGGAGAGAGAGGCATGCGCCATTTTGAGGAAACCCTGAATAGGAAGCTATTGTTTTCTAAGATCAAAACATTCGGTTTTTTAATTTCTTCAATTTTCTTCGTAACAGTAACCTAGACTGGCAATCGTCCATGATTTTTATTACTGAATAGATGTTTCACGCAATGCAAGAATGTCAGGAAAGACAAAAGTGGGATAAAATAATTAGTTAAGGGCTCGTGTCAAGATCGGGAAAGCATCTCCGCTGCGTGTCCATTTCAAGGTTCGCGACAGAATGGAGCCAAGCAGGAAAGGGTCATTGTAATTTGTAAAAGCTTGGCTGCCTTTGTTTTTGTGATGGCGCAGAAATCGTCGAAAGATATCCCGGCGAATCTATTCCTCTTATTCCAGGAGGAAAATATCGCTTGAGCTGTCCCGTCTTCCCATAACTTCAGGGCATTAGCTGTTCGTGCCAAAAGGTGCTAATTGTTTCAATTTTTTGTCAGCTTTTAGAACTAAAACTTTTTCTTTTCTTGAAAGAAAGTTTTGATTCACCTCCAGTTTACAGATTCTCTCACGTTCGTCACCTGGCCCGGTGTTACTGTTGGAATACCCACATATTTTTATATTTCTTTTATATCTAGGGCCTCTAAGGATATCAGTTTTTGTAACTGTAGGAGCTACCCTAGCTAAATAAAAGTATCTTCTTCTTCTTCTTCCTCTTCTTCTTGCTGTGGGAACTCTTACAGATTGTTCCTAGAAAGTAAACGGTTCGATTTTTTGAAATTTCAAATCGTGAAGGGTTAATTCCTCCTTATAAAGCTTTTGAGAGGTGGCAAAACTGTTCTTAGGGTTGTGTTAGCGGGATTTCGTACTAGGGGTCGAGCTTCTCCTCAAATCGCAAGATTCCCGATAGCACGCTCGGGCCCAAGAGTAGACAGCTTTAAAACAGCCAAGGTCTTGGGCGTTATTCCTGCAATTTTGAGAAGCGCTAGAAGGCGTAGGTCTTTTAATTTCTCAAGAAAATAACAATTGCTAGACCCAAAAGGTATTCGAAGCTCATGGCTGAAACAGGCGGGTTCGTGATCAGGAGCCCATGTTCCTGGGGCCGACCTAATCCGTGTTGACTGGCGTTTGAAAATGAACTTGTAGTCTTGAGGCATTCGTTTACTGCACTCAATCTCAGCTTCTGATCCAAAATGTCAAATGCTGTCTGATTTTATCTTTCATCTTTAGGATTTCTTTTACTCTTATATGCAATAAATGACAGGCTCTTACTAAAATGCAGATAATAATCCGACGTATTGCGAACTTTTACAACAACTTTGTCTTTCGGTGTTTTATGGAAACTGAGTTGTATGACTGACTGTAAGTGCTGGCCCATCTTAGACCGTCACTTTTTAAGATCACTCTAGCATAGCTCAACCTGTTGTCTGGGTCTCTGAGCTGTAAACAAATGAAACAAACGTCAATTTGGATCATAATAAAATATTTATGGCAGAATTATTTTTTCAGGTTAGGAAAAAATGAGGACAAAGCCCAGTACTTTTACAACAGTTCTCCCCATCTTCCGTCTTTAAAAGGAAGATGAGGGCAATCAATTCAAATCAGCAAAATCATCGCAAAATTCATGCACTCTCCAGGTTAGAAAAACATGTCACAGAACAAATAATTTACCGTCGTGAATCAGTTGCTAATGTTGTTTTTTTCCTGCGAAGCAATTACCTCAAGGAAAGTGAATAGAAAGAACTGCCTCGCCCTGTTTTGAAAACTATTACGAGAATCGAGTATCGCATCGCTAATGTAGGAATGTCACGTCCACCCTTCCAGATCCAACTTGGCTCAATCAGTTTTGACAGCGGAAAGTTTACTACTGTGTCAAAAACAGCCTTTTTTATGGGGGAACGTCCCGGCTTGTTTCCTGATACACCCAGATGGTTCGGGGTGGCCTGAAACCTCAAAAACATGAACGAAAACCAAACAGGAAAATGGGTTATCACTGAAGGAACAAGCTGAAAACCATGAAACGCCACCCTGAACGTTCACTAAGGGACGAACAGACTGCAAAAAAATATGAAAGGCCATAGTTAAAAAAATCTTTAAAAACAGCTCGTATGACATTTTAACTGAATGTTTACAGAAATAACAGTGCTGTATAACCACGATAAAATCACTCATTTATTGAACAAACTTATCGAGTTGCTTTTTGTTTCAACAACCATGGTTTCACTCGAGCCAGTGGTTCAGTATTTCAAACCATCCTACAACACTTCGTAGGTGAGGTGAAGTTCCAAAATATCTTCCTGTGTCAGTATAAAAAGTCTTAAAGTCTGTACATAGTACATATCTAAAGCTTTTTCTACCTCATCCTTGAACTATGATCAAACCTGAAGATTTTGACGATTCAAGAATATTCATGTCACATCGTCAAGAATTCAGCGAAACACCGGTTTGAAATACGTATGGACGGTTTAATTTCATGGCTAAAAAAATATTCATTTTCTTTACTACCTTACTTTTGTTGCGAGACCATTATTTAATTTGTGGCAAGAGGCGGAAAAGCCGTTTTGTAAAGTAAACAACAAAGACCAGGGTTTAATCAAACCCAAGGGTTCGAATGCTTGTGAATATTTTTATTACAGCTTTTCTGCAAAGGGTTGTTAGATAATGTAATTGGTAACGCGTTTTGAAAGGAAGAGTTAGAAAATCTAATCCTTTAATCTTGTTTTTAATTTGTCTGGTTTTTCAGTCATTTACGAAGACATTTTTTAGTTGTAATATTTCGCGTCGATGAGCTTAAAAATTTTATTTAACCACGTTACTATGTGGGCAACATACCCCTATGGACGAGGAATCCAACGTCGAACTCAATTCACCCTCTTCAGTTGTGTTCTTTAGTCGTAACTTGTTTGTTGCTTGTAGTAACTGAACCTCGGTAGAAAGGCACGCAAATTTGGAAGTATAAACTGAACAAGCTAGGCGTCTATTGATAATACATGTAGTAGCTAATAGAGCAGCATGCTCAGGTAAGTAGCTGTACTTTGAATCGAATAAAAGATAACAAATTAAAATAAATTCCCATTTCCTTGTTTCATCTGATTTCAAGTCTTCTTCATTTAGATTCCGGCACAATTACTGATACGTTAAATTTATCATTCGTGACAATATTCTCCATATTCAGTCACATAATCTCAGTAAACCATTGTGTTTAAACGCCATCTCAATGAATAATTGTCTTATATCGCTTAAGAAGACCGGTACTAAAGGTTTGGTAACTATGCCTGTAACCGTTAATTCCTTTCCATCAAATATGATAGAGTTTAACCGACATCATAGAAGGAAAGTCGTACAAAATTTCTTTCACTTTGCTTTTGTTTTTCCAACCCCTTTTAAAACTATACTACAAAGCTGTTTGAAATTTTTACCTCATGAGCTCTTTCAGAAGAAAAACCATGGAAAATAATTTGTCAAAATAGAATGTGAAAAATGACGTGGATCTTGCAAGGCTCTAAGCAGCTTACATTGAACAATATACTATGTAAAGAAATAGGAATATATCTGATCTTCAGGTCATGGTGCACTGAATAAATCACATTTCCATGTTAATAATAATGACAGGAATTACATGGAGGAAAATGGCAGTGAAATAATTTGGCTTTCTAGGAAATTCTCGCTGATTAATTCCTGATTCAAAGTGACCCAGTTGCCATGTTTTTACAAACCCCCAGATCATGTCCAACGAGTTTCTTGTTTTTACAGGGACTTTGCTCTAGTAAGCGGATTTCAGTTGGAAATTTAGTTTTTTCTTCCATTAGCTGTTTAATTGTTTGAGAGAATTATCGAAGTCAAAATGAAATTTTGAGATCTTTAAACGATTTCTGTTGTCTGAAACCAATTCTTGCTCTTGGTTTACACTTGAGCCGCATTCCTCGAAAACAGGTGTCGCGGGTTTGACAAAGGCTCGAAAGTATAAACCGACAATCTAATTTAAACCTTTTCATTCAGGGTTTTAATCCCGCAGAGGCTCTTTTATTAAAACCCCCGCGGCTGGCTATAGACCCAACTGATTTGACAGTGAGCATTTCGAAGGCAGAAAAAGCGCGCGCCCAACAGCTAAAATAATAACATCTAAGCAGTTTAAAAGTGCTAAACCTCTTTGCTAAATGCTGAGTTTTTCGGTCAGGCAATTGTTGAAATAAAATGTTTACGAAACAGTTTGATAGTAGGACACATGGAGAGCAAACGCAGGTTCGAATTTATCAAAGCCGAGAAAAGCTTTTAGTAAAATTACAAGAAATATGTCCGCACTAGAAAAAAAGCCAGAGAAAAACAGTAAAAATTCAATTTTGCTTGTTAATTTAGTTCCTGAAATAACAATTTTGCACCCCGGAAATGGCCAAGGAAATCGCAAGCCACAATTGTATCCAACGGTGATTACATTTCTTTCCATGGGTTTGTCCGTTATTTTTGTAAACCAAACATTTGTTTAATTCATTTTCCTACACTTTTTTGCTTCCTTAAAATAAGATCCTGCGTCACCCTCCTTACTTTCCTTCAAAAAAGCAGAGATATTTGTTTATTCGTCTCTCTTATCAATATTTACAGCCCACGCGAAACGGTCACAAATAGCAAAGAAAATGTTTATTTTGTAGCTCTAAATCGCCCTATACAGACATGCACAGCTGATGCGATTGGGGGATATTATCGTACGAGTAAACCAACAGAGTGACTGACGGCACCCAAGAGGTCAGAAGACCTAGGAGACACACCTCACATACCTTTCAACAAAATAAAAGAAACTTTTCTCCCTGATTTTTTCAATTTTGTGAGCTATAATTTAGTCTATTTTCAAGCTATTTTTCATTTCTTTGAAGTAACGGTTGAGAATTTCTTGGCCAGAACTATACTTTGGTCAGCAGTGAATGAAATAAGTTTTTTCTCTGCATTTTTGTAAACCAAATTCACTTTCAAGTACTTTTCAAGACCAATTAGTACGAAAGAAAGAAACAGTCAAATCCTTCATTTTTTTAGATCTTATCACTTTATTCCTCTGCTTATACACTTTGAAGTTATGAGTATTTTATATAATTGATCTTAAATACATGCCAACTCAAGCTCTCGACCTTTCAAGGCCTTTGGAATATTTCCCAATAAACCCAAACTTTCTCCAGCACGATACGCCTAATCTACTCTTTACAAACACATATCGATATCTTTCGTATTTTAAACAGCGGACTTTGCCAATTAGAAATAAAATAACATAATTGTAACAGTTCGTTTAGATGACATTAAAACATTCACCTGGTCTGTAATTAAAGATCTATGATCTAGTTATGTGGTTTTGTTCAGTGGTGAACAATGTTCGTAATCTCATTCACTAATTATAAGCTTGCCATGTCCGTTTTGTTTCAAATTTTATGGCTGAAAGCGGGCCGGCAGCTAAAACAGTTACATTGTGAATATAGTCCTCCGGGGTTAGAAGCTGTCCAATACGAACCGTAGGTTGTTAGAGCAGAATTAGAACAGTTTTTTCCTGAACAATCTCGGCTGAAAGCCGAACAAGCGTTGCAAAATGCCTGCTTTGGAATGCTAAAAGATTCACTGGACTGAACGCTCAATCTTGTGACAGGACATTGCATTTCGCAAAGACCCGTCATTTTTCCAGCATCTGGCCTCATCTGTGTACTGCCTGCGCTTGCTGTCTGAACTTTTACTAAAGCTCCTTTATGAACTTTTAAAGATGGCTCATCGATTTGTATCGACAGTCCTTTTCTCCTCTTCTTGTTTCCTAAGATGTTGTCGATACTAAAAGGATGCGAGACTGTTTCCCAGTTTGTCTCGTGATGCGAGTCACCGTCCATCTCTGCCTTTGTGGTCTTATCTGTTGAATCAAGCTTCTGTTTTTTAGTTTCGTTTGCTTCTTTGGCAGGAAAGCCTCCAGTACTGTTTGAATCAGAGGCTTTGTGTTCATCTCCCTGAACAAGTGCTCTTTTAATGTCAGGTTCTTGCGCTTGCTCGCTTAGTGTCTTCGACTCTGCACTCATTTCTGTGGTGCCTATAGCGTCGAGTTCATCTTCGTCGTCTTCGTCGTCACCCTTTCCACGATTATTTCTTTGTCGTCTTCGCCGTCTTCGAAAGTTCCCTTCCTCGAACATTTCCTCGTAAGATGGGTCAAGACTCCAATAACATCCTTTCCCTGGATCGGAGCGTTCACGAGGTATCTTCACGAAGCACTTATTTAACGACAAGTTATGGCGAATACTGTTTTGCCAGCCGCGTTTGTTCAGGCGGTAGTACGGGAAATTTTCTGTGATAAACTGATAAATCCCGCTCAAGGTAATTTTCCCATTTGGGGCCTGTTTAATGGCCATGGAGATAAGCGCAACGTACGAGTACGGTGGCTTGGGGAGTGGCTCCTGATCGCGGAAGAAAATTCCTGCGCCATGGTAATTTAAAGGGAAGCCATTTCTTCCCCATTGTGGGTAGAATCCTGAAGGGTAACTTGGAAGAGCGGCGTGAAAAGCTGGTTGGCAAAGGTAGGGCGACACGTAGCAGCTACGATGTGGTGGGTACATCTTCCTTTGTGACCGGGACTTGTCCGTGTTTCTGGAGTGACAACAAGTATCTTGCGTGGGAGAAGCAACGTTACCGTGGAACGACTGATCGCACACTGGAAGATAACTCGACGAAGCTTGGGTTTTTATTTATGGACCACCGGCATTGTTTGTTTATAAGCTAAGTACAGCTTTCGTGTCAAGTTATTTATTTACAAACAAACTATAAACCGCGATCAGGCCACACGTATGTGATCACAGCGGAAATGGATTGGCAGAAAGCGAAATCTTTTTTCATACTACCACTATTCACAAACTCACGAGACGAATGTATCGCTTTTACAAATATTTACAAAGAAAACAGAGACCAAAGCTTTCATAACACCAGAGATGATTACTTATTTGTTTACACGACCAGATCTTGTAGACTGAAAAAAATTAAACGCATACGTCTTGAGAGATTGCTTGAGGGGTATTTTATAGTTCACTTCCTTGAAAATTAACCCCAAACTCAGACTATTTGTATAACCGCAGTTTAGAGAAGCCCATTGGCTTTGTTTTCACTTGGGTATTAAAAAGGAAAATAGTTGACAGCGGATCAGGGAACTGAGTGAAATGCAAACCGTATTGTTATTTCTGCCAGTTTACGAGACATAGAGACGCCAAGGTTTTTTTTTTCGTTTGTTTTTAATAGCCGTAGAATAAAGTGACATGAAAATAGTTTTCGTATTCAACTATGTAGTCTCAAAACAACCTTCCGTTGAAACGTTCAACAGCTCTGAACAAAAGACATTTGCTCAACTACAAAATCATGTTGAATATTTCAGAAATTCTAAAAAAAATGGGCGCATTAACAAAAATTTCTCGCAACCATCGGCTCAGTAAGAGGATGTTCATTGTGCATTGATTCTTTCAATTTTGGAAAGTTTCGTTTGCTCAGGCTCCCTCGTTGCTGGGCAAAAAATATCGTTTAATCGGGGCGATTGTTAATGCATTTCAGTTTCCCATAATGGGACGCATGATTTACATTAAAAGGAGAAAAGAACTTTAAAAAAGTTGCCGTAGGGAATTTTATAACTTGTTGACATGGTATGACTTCCACAAGAGAGATAAGTAATAGATAGGCGATAAGGAAGGACAGAGCTGAGAAGGACCTTGAGATGTTAGACAAACAAATTAACATTCCGCGACGATGTAAACCCAAAAATTCCCCCTAAAGGGTATGCAATGACATCTCCGAAGCCATTTTTCTGGTAATAATTTTATTTAGTTTGAGCTTGGTCGAAGCAAAAATAAAATCACCGCTTAGTGACAGGGAAAAGTGACCGTCTTAAGTATAAGTATAAGGCTACGCCAAATGCCTCTTGACTTTCTCCTCTTTCCGAAAACAAAGAAGTGAACTTGTCCTCTAATGTCATTGTTGAGGTCGCGTACAAATTATCGCTGTCAGACGATGTTTCTTTGTATTTTTGCTCAATTTGGGGCCAGCCAGACAAAGAAATTTTTTAGTTGAATACAAGGCTCATCAATATCAGCTGTTTGTTGCAGACGATGAGTCTTGAAGAATCAAGGAAAACAACTCTATTACGCTCCACAGGTAGTATAGTTCCATTAGGGTAGATTTCGTTGTTCTCAGCCACCCAACTTCGCGTTGAGACATGCTGTGTGAGTTTGCCACTGAAGATGAAAACACTCACCACTTGAAGAAGAAGAACAAGAATTCAGTCTTTAAAATAAAGCAAGGTAAATCTCAGAATTCTTGCGAAAAAAACAGTTTTCAATTAGGAACGTGAACTACCCGCAGATAAAACAGAAATTTGGGGAAGATTCACAACCCTCTCAAAACTAATTGTTTTTAAGCGTATGCGTAGCATTGCTAAAGAGGTCTAAAGAGACATTATGGTACTAAAAAGGCGGCAAGCATTTAAAAGGGATGGATGCTATTGGCATCAAAGTTTTCCGCCGAAGACAGATTTTTCAACGAAACATTGAGACTATAATTATATGCATTTTGCAAAAAAGAGGACTTTACCAGCATAAAATTCTCGGTTGTTTAGTCATCGGCTTCTTCAGTTTCAACACCGACCGTACTGGGTCATTACCTCCCCCTCGGTGAAGCAAAGAAGCAAAATGAATTGCCAATTATCAAACTGTTCCAAATTCCGGTTCTGTTCCGCATTCTAATTCATTGTAAAATGACCTGAGAACCGATTTTGAACAATTGCACCAGGTAAATTCCCCATAGTTTTGACCTGCCTTTTACCAAAGTCGGTGAACTTTTTTTCGAGAAAATATTTTAATCTTGCCTAGAACAAGAGGCTGTGTATTCAAGTTACATGAGTTCAATGACATTTGCCACGAGTAACTTAACGTTTTTTTTAATAACAGTTAAATCCGAATATCTCTGGAGATTAAGTAAAACACATATTCCACTAAATGAAAAGGTAAGCTTGCTACCCACAGCTAAAAACGGAATGTCGGAGACGGGATGTCTAGCCGACAGTTTATGATCGTTAATATTCAAGATTTCATTTGACGTTTTCAAATAGTTTGAATTATAATCATAACTTAAAACTTAAAATATCGCCAAAAATGTGTACAGGACTAAATCCCCCCATTCGGGGTGTGGTGACATTGAAATGGGCGGCCCTTTAATTCAACTTAAGAGGAGGGAATGTGGAGAAAAATGCTAGAAAGTGTATAAAGAACTATAAGATTGGTCACTCAAATTGATATTTGAAAGTCCATTTATTTAACCAGAGGATGTGAAATTTATGTATAATATCATAACTCATTACAACCGCATGATATCATTGATCGAAAACTTGCGCAAAATACAGCAATTTTTTGTAAGTTGTCGATGATTTTACCATAACTTTACTATCAAATCAAATCAGTACTGCTTGCATGGTTTTCAAATTGTCTAATATTTGAATTGGAATGGAAAGTTGTAAAGCTTTTATGTTAAGTAACCAATTTTACCTAGAAGTACTATACGACGATTCAAGGATAGTAGAACATAATAATGGCATAATTTATAAAGGCTCTGTCTAACCATTCCAACCTGTGACCGGCCTCGAGTTCGAGGTGGAATCACAAAGCATGAACTGTCCGAACTATTTTTCTCTTTAGAGAGCACGCGTATAGACTGTGTACGGGGTAGGGAGATGGGGGACGACCGGGCGAAAAAAAACAACAAACTTTAAAGTTTTTGTCACGGAGTTTTTAGCCTGTAAGCTCCAATGGTACCATGTCGAACCACGATTGAACCGTTCTCTCAGCGCTGCTATTGCAAATGAGTTGTCTTGTATACCACAAATGAGCTAATTAGGGACCTTAAGATCCAAGGACGGCGACGGTAGCGAAGACATCGCTTGAAAAATGAATTCGCGTTCATCCAGTTTTTTCTTCATCGTGACAGTTCCAACTCACTTACTTTGTCAAATGTGGGGTTTTAAAATCAGTATAACGGCGAAGCAGCTTTGGCAACACTCCCAACATGATAATCTTACGCTAAAGAGGCTGACAATCTGACGCCTTCAACCATTGGCCTGAGTCCGATAGAGAGATAATCAATAAACTGAAAAGATACCTTAAAAACTAAAAAGAAAAATCAGTAGCTTAACTAGAACTTGACTTGTAATCTTAAATCAAGATGGAAGTTGAATTCCTAAAAAAACCTATCCAAGTTCATAATGAGAAAGAAAATTTCGTAGCAGCTTGTTAACGTCCTCCATGAAACGTTAAATAAGGCATTTTCACGTCGTAGTCGTACAGTGACGGCAAAGAAATGTACAAAAAAGCGTGATGCACGTGCAAAGTTGTTGTTTTCCTAATCTTAAGCTTTTTTGACGTTCCCGTTGCCTTCGCCGCCGTCGGATCTTAAGGTCCCTGGTACCTGGGGCCGGGGCATTTATTTACTTCATGGTTCCAAGAGGGGGCGTTTAATAAATAAGAGGCGTTTAAAAGAGAGAGGCTTTCTTTCTCATAACTGTAACAAGCTCAGCAAAAATAATGTGCTTTGGGCGAAAATATGAAGAGAGTTTATTTATTTATTTAGCTTCGCCTAACTAGAATACAATCTTTATACATGAATACATAAACATTATTAGGCAGGGAGACCACTACAGACTAACCAATTACAGTAGATCCCTCGTTAATTAAGAAACAAAACATAAGAATAACTAAAGCTACTGATATATAAACAAGAAAATTAAAAGGAAACAAAACAGAAGTTCAAATTGCTAGAAGCAGCACGTCGGCGGGCACAGTAGAGTCCTCGCTATGTTGCACCTGGGACAGATTGTTCTCCAGGTTCTGATGTCGTCAACGTCGTACAGGTCCAGCGCCTTATTGTAAAATTGAAGTAATATTGAGTTAATACAAGCTGAATATGCAGTCCATCAATTGATGCGTGGAGGCCGAGATCGACAGTGTCACAGCTCCTTCCAGTCTCCGCTGCCCGGTTAGCTCAGTTGGAAGAGCGCCGGGCTGCTGAGCGGGAGGTCGTGAGTTCAAAACCCGGCCGGACCATCAACCAAGTTCTTTAAAATACTGGTGAGATCATGCTAGCATTGAAACTCCTTTCTCAGTTCAGATGATCGCGTCATTGGGCGGTGTCGTTAAACCGTTGGCCTTGTCTCCTTCATTCTTGTAGTGCAGTTGGAAGGGGACGTTTACCCGTGACATTGTTCGAAAAGATTAGGCGACGCAGGCCCCGATGGTATGGTCTATCTGACTTGTGCCATCGTCGGGCTGGGTGGGGGAGATGTGATCAAAACATGGACTGAAATGGCTGCAAGAGTACGCCTTTACATGGTGACGTCCAATCTCAGCTCTCTGGTTCCTCTGCAATTCAGCCATTGGCTGCAAGTGAGAAAAGTTGGCACCGCATATCTATTCTTCCATCTATTATTCCTCTTCGATGTCAAAATCCTCGATCTCGTTCAGGGTCACACTTGTGTTGTCATCGTTCGTTTATCCTTACTTTGAACTTGACACATTGAACAAGATGCAACGTGGAATCCATTGGTAGTCAAGGAAGAAACTGAACAAATTTTAATCGTTTTGCTCCTTTTTTGCTATTTCCTAGTATTTTGGAGTAATTTCTTTGTGGGACATCTATTAGACATGGTCGTTTATTAGAGAGAGGCGTCCAATGCAAATTTGAGATCTTAGAGGGGGCGTGTATCGGACAAGAGGCGTTTATTTATGGGGGACGTCAATTAGATCATTTACGGTACAGCGATAATTTCATGACTTTGATCTTGATTTAAGATTACAAGTCAAGTTCTAGTTAAGCTACTGATTTTTCTTTTTAGTTTTCAAGGTATCTTTTCAGTTTATTCATTATTTCTCTATCGGACTCATGCCAATGGTTAACGGCGTCAGATTGTCAGCCTCTTTAGAGTAAGATTATCATGTTGGGAGTGTTGCCAAAGCTGCTTCGCCGTTATACTGATTTTAAAACCCTCCAACTCAGGATCTACAGTGGTAGCGCACAAAAGTGTTAAAACGAATTCCTGAAAATTTTCCAAACTTGATTTTCCACGGAAGCACGGAAATAGTTCCAAACAGAGAAAGAAGATTTTTTTCGATAAAACAAAGTATTAACCCATTTTGAAGAACATGGAAAAGCAACAGACTGATAAAATTCTTACTGTAATTTTTGTACTGTCATTTTTTAATCGTAATTGCGTGCAAACAAATTAGGATTTACAGGAAATTTTATAGTTTGATGAATGATGTGCAAAGAGGTTCGAGGCTATGCTTGGTCATGCTCTGACGTCATCTTGACTGTGGCCAACGCAAAAATGCGAAAACAAAGAGACGAAGTTGAAAGATTGATACTCTAACAGTATCCTGTTGATTAAATGCTTTTTATTAAATAAAGGTAACAGATGACAATATTACTTAATACTTATTGACTAAAACGCAAACAGGGATGTAGGTGACGTAAATGTTGACTTGAAAGTTCTTAGTGTTTGAAAACTAGTAAATGCGGAGACCGGACTTGTCGGCGCCATTTCCGAGTACGTAACCTTTTCCGCTGAGTGTAGCGCATTTTTACATGATAAGGAGACGTGTTAACTTGAGATAAAAACGGAAGACACTTGGACACTCGCCAACTGTTTAACCTACACTGTTTCAGATATAAGTACTTTAACTTTTGCTTTATCCCCAAAAAAGAAATCTGTCCTCTAACAGGATAATGGCTGAAGCCCTTGAGGTACAACTGGGACCGGGAATAACCACTGGAAAATTTAGAGTTAAGATAAATAAACGTTTGATGTTTCTTCTTAAATGTCAATGGAAACTACTCACTCCCATAACATGTCTTAAACATTATTTGTGCGTGATATTTCAGTCGAACTATGATCAGGAGCTTTCACTTAGGTTGTAAAACTCGTCTCATAGGTTTATATTCGTGGTTTTGCTGTTCCGTTTTAACGCTAGGCGAAACAGATCTATTTTGACTGATTTGATCTGAGGGCGACGTTTGGATCGCGTTATGGGCTCCTGGTCTGGAAAATTAGGCGGAACACCCTACCAAACATGTTGTCCTATGTTTTTGCTTAGTTTGACTTTATAGTGTACTTTGGTTCCGTAACTGACCGTGAAGGCCTGGGGAAGCAATCAAATGTTACATTTCATTTCACATAACACAAAGTAGCAGTTGCCTTTAACAAATCAAAATGGCCGCCCGAAAGGTGTGGAAGATCTTGCCGACAAATTACTTTCTGATAACAACTCTTCGAGCCGCATATTCATCAAGATGGACACAGCTAAAAAAAAATCAGCTACATCTTCGTGGGTGAGTAAATATTTTGAAGTTGTGATCATTTCGGTGCCATAACCGTTGAGGTCTTGTGCCACATTTATTTATTTTACTGCATGATGTAAACAGCCGTTGTCGTCTCCTGTTATGCAATCATGTTCTGGGGTCCGTTTCTCGAACGTCCCGATAATTAACGGGCCCGGTAAGCTGTCTCCGTTTACCTTAAAGATCAATCATGTTCTGTTTGATAAAAAGTTAGTGAAACAAAATGGGCAGTTCGTTACAGGACCCGCGCTCTTATTCTTTATATTTTGATTTGAATATTTTTTAAAGCGGGACTTTGGTTGACTTTTAAAGCTATAGTGGTGACGAGTATGAAATTTCTCGAGCTGCAGAATACCCTAGTACTTCCAAACTGTATCCTTAAAAGAGGCAGAGAGGTGGATACGATTCCGATTAAGCGCTTTTTCTACCGATCTTCATCAAGAAAACAGGCTCTTTATGAGCACAAGCCTGCTGCTTTGTTTAACTCTTCAAGCCCTAATATCAGCATGTCTATTCTCCACACTTTTCTGTACAAATTTCCTGTGGTACTGATAAGAATTTGTTTGACGAGGAAGACCTTTTTTCATTTGCTGATCAATTTTCGTTTTTCCTCATGATCTCTGTGTTCGATTTAGCAGTGTTGCTGTAAGAAGAAATTACCAGCTGGGCACTCTTGGGAATTAAAGGGTTAAGTTTCATTGCATACTCTATAGTGATACTCAAGCTGATGTCACCTATTGATATTAACGTGCCAAACAAAAGTAACAACAACAACGTTTGTAAACAGTGATGTCTCCTATTGCAGACTACAAGCTGCCCAGAGGACGTACAGTACCGGTAGTTCAAGTAAAGAAAGTTCAGCAGAATCTGGTGAAGATCCAAAAAACAAGCCAATACGCTTCTCAACCTCCAGAGCACGTCACATGACTCTTAATCAAACCCTGGGAATTGGACAAATAGAAATTGAGAAGAACCCGTCAAAGAAGTCCATCTACATTGGAATGGTTCTTATGGCTATCATGACATATATTATTTTCTTTCTACCTCCGGACCAAGATGAACTTGATCTACTTGAGTTGGAGATTGAGAAGTATGAGAGGGAACAGGCTAAGAGGCAATGATAAGGGGATGTGTTTAAACATTGAACCAAGCAACATTATTGTAATATATAATTTTTGATAAAATCTGAGATGAGAATCTTGTTTGAATTTTGCCATTGCCATTTTCATTTTGTGTTAGCCATATATTATTTTAATCTACAATGAAACCTGTATTGAACTGACCCAATAACAAGTTGACACTTTGGTGGACACAGACAGGGCTGTCATTAAGAGCCGGGGGCCGAGGATTTCCCCCAGCTACTATGAGTGTGGTCCCTGGCTACTTTCATTGGAAAATAGCAGAAAAATCGAACCAAAAGAAACCCATAGCTGTTTGATTCCCCGCCTACTTGTTGTATTTCTCCGGCAACTTGAAATCTTAGTGACAACCCTGACAGATTTTATGAAAGCCCAAACTTTTTTTTCCATGGCATATTTTCTGTAAAGCAGACCTCTATTAATAACTGGATACCCTTTTTTAGCTGACACTAACAGAGGTTCTGTGGGGTATAGTAATTATGTAAAGGAGCTGTAGTTGTACATGTATATTGTTAAAATACAGTGTAGTTGACACAAACAGATCATTAGTGATCACGCTGCTTATTATTATTATTACTATTATTATTATGTGGTCTTTTATTTATTTACTGTAGGTGGATCAATGTGAAATGTAACCGATAGCAGCATGAGAATCAATGGCATTGTTCACTCCAGTTTAATTGCATATTTTGCAGTCCTAAAAGTCAGCCAGTTAGCCTGAATTTCAGACCTCTCCTTTAGAATTTGCCACTTGAAGAGACAGCTAGAATTCAAGTTATCAGTACTTAAATTACTGAATTTAAATTCCAGATTTTTGAAAACTTTTTATCATGTTTATGTGTATTATATTAGGGCTTTACAAAACTTCAGGATGACAAAAGAGCAAGGTATTTTCCCCAGTTAAGGTTACATCATCTCAAATGGGTACTCTGGGTTGTTCATGGGCAACTTAATAATGAATTTTTTGCTGAAGAATATGTCCAGTTGAAAAAATATTCTTTGGACCGTTATGTACACTTTATTCAAGTACCCCCACCAAGGATGGAATTTGGACGTAATAGGTAAAACTTTTTTGATAAGTAAGTCTTTGCTTCCAATTTTCAAGTCACGGTGGACCTTTTACTGATGTCATGCAAAGTGTTAGTGCAATTTTTAATGCTTTTCATTGAAACAAAATACATCCTTCTAGATCTTTGTATCATTATACTGATTTTAGTGAAACTGCAAAGTTCATAAACATCCGTTACAAAATCTCATAAATATGATAGCCCTAAAATTGTCAATATTTATAAATTTGAACTTACATATGAGTTTAAGACAGATTTCTACGAAACTTTGCAGGATTTCGTAATTCAGTAGTACTGTGAGGGTCTCAATGGGGTGGTAGCTTTGACGGTTGATGGTTATTTTTTTCCAATTTTGATGATTGACTGCGAAATTTTAGGGCTTTTGACGGTTGACGATTATTAATGAAAACTTGGTCCAAAACTGTTTGAATTGACATTAACTGTTGTGTTTGGAGGTTGCCTTGGCCTTTTACATACATAATTTCAAAATACTTTAACACATAAGCAAGTTGTAAGGTCTTGTAATGTTCAGAGAGATTGTTTTTGAGAACATGGCCCCAGGTTTATCCAGTGAAGAGATTTTTCAGGAGCCAAGAGTCCGTGAAGATCAGCTGAAATAGTGAGATTTGAAATACCTTTAAACGCTTTTGCAGTTAATATTACTGCGCATTTTAGACGTTTGACGGTAAAAATATCCTTTTTTGACGGTTGACGGTTAAATTTAAAACTCTTGAGTCATTAAGACTACCACAAAATAATGCAAAATGCCGAAAAATTAATGTCAGTAAGAATGTGGAGGTGCTGTCGAGGCGATTGGTTGATTGGTCCAGGGTGAGACCATGTTTCTCATCTTTTTCAGTTTCTTTGGCGCGGATTTCGATTTGTTCCATGTTGTCAGGTTCTCCGTATACTTTGAGTTTCGTAGTCTCAGTATACACTGAACATAGACTATCAAACAAAGGCCCCGTTTATGGATAAAAGTTGTGACACCTTCCCAGTCGAGTCAACTTTAGGAACTAGCTAGCGTTTAATGAAAAAAGGGTTGACCCCGTTGTCCGAGCCAAGCGGCTGACATCAGTGCTCGCGCATGATCTGATTGCCTCGCCTCGACTGGGTTGACACGGCTAGACATTGGCCCGGGAGGGAGGGTGACCATATCATCGAAAAAAGGGTGACACGTCTATTTATTTTCGGTATCTCTGGAAATTTCTAACAACGCCCCGAGTCATCATCTTCCATCGAATTGAAGTGGCATGATGAGGTTAGTTTGACAACCATATGCCAGTCTTGTTCTTTTTTTGTACAACTATTACGACTGACACAATCAAGGGTCTTAACAGTGAGCGTTTCACGGAGTGCACTTCAATCACAGATTCACAGGAACGGTGCACACTATTCTCGAACAGCAAAAATGGTGGATCACCATTCATACGTAAAGTAAGCTTGCGCCCCTTTAAGAACAACCAAGTTTAACCACAGGTGGCCCAAGCGTAATAAGAGAGTTTTGCTAGACTGCAAAACAGTCGGTTTTTTTTTAAAGCGTGGCGTACGAGTCTTACGCGCAAAACAGTCCCCAGTCTCACTCTCTGTTTTCAGCCTCGTTCCAGACCTTTTGTTTGACTGCTCGCGCTTACTTGAATACGCAAAAATACGGACTGTTTTGCAGTCTTGTTTTGCTGGCAATGCAAATAAAAGTTAGTTACGTCAAGTATGTACCCCGGGAAAACGGGCAAAAGTTTCAGTAAAGTACAAACAATGATTGTTACCTGGTGCCTTACTGACATCATATAAACTGGAACTAAAACGGGTAAAAGTTATCAGTACAGTATAAACTATTACCTGTGGTGTTGTTTATCTCTTTCTTCAGTTTCTTCGAAGTTTCAGCGCGATTTATCTTGTACTAGTAATAGTTGACAC